AGAGGCCACCTAGGCCTCAGAACAGAGAACAGAGAACAGAAAGAAAAAAATGTTACATGGTGGTGTGCATCTGTAGTCCTAGAGGCCACCTAGGCAATGTAATAAGATACAATCTCTGAAAAAAAAATTTTTTTTAAGTATTGTGAAGTCAAGGAGAAGATACTGCCTTGTATTAAGTATTAGAAGGAAATACAAGCTGTAGTTATATATATATCCAGAAGAAAGAAAGGCAAGGAATAGGAATAATATCACAAAAAGTTAAGATGAAATGAGGCAAATTTTCTTATTTTTAAAAGCGCTAGATAATATGTTACAGCATTTCTTTTAAAACTAAGTGCCGTCTGAAAGAATAATCGACCAATTGAACATGTGAATTTTTAATATTTGCCATTTACTTAAAGGAATTTGAGATTATTAGCAATTGATGCAGATGCCATAAATCCATTAATAAAATGTGAATTCAAAACAATAAAGATAGAGGGGAAGTGAATATACCAGAAAGCTTTGCTAATGTCATTACTGTAAATGAGCATTACTTTTAGCTTAAAGTGCTCTGGTAGCCAAAATAAAAATAGAAACACAGCGAATTATTTGGTTTTTATTGCCTGAGAAACTGAAGAAGGCCAGTTCATTACAAGGGGGTAACATTGTTTTTCTAGAACTGAATTCTAAAAGGAATTTATTGCATGGGTCTTTTACAACACAATGTATAGCATAATAGTCTTTCAATAGCATTCTGAAAATAGTGTCTTGTTTGCTTTTGTTTTTGTTCTCGTTGACTATGTGTTAGTGAAAGAGCAGATCCCAGTTACTGTAAGGACCGGATTACTGAAGGAGCCAATATCAATAAGTCCCTTGTGACCCTGGGAATTGTCATCTCTACTTTAGGTATTTTGCGATAGATTGGTGACTGGAGTGGGAGGGAGACTTTGGGAAATAACTCATGTTTTTATTTTGACACTCTTTTTTTTATGAATTTACCTTTGTTTGGGGCATGAAATTTATTAATAATATTTGTTGGGCAGCGCCTGTGGCTCAGTGAGTAGGGCATCGGCCCCATATACTGAGGGTGGCAGGTTCGAACCCAGCCCTGGCCAAACTGCAACAAAAAATAGCCGGGCATTGTGGTGGGCACCTGTGGTCCCAGCTGCTCCGGAGGCTGAGACAGGAGAATTGCCTAAGCCCAAAAGTTGGAGGTTGCTGTGAGCTATGACACCACAGCACTCTACTGAGGGCGACAAAGTGAGACTCAGTCTCTAAAAAATAAATAAATAATATTTGTCTGTGGTTTTATAGCACACTGTGACCATCAATCCCAGCACACTCGTTTCAAAAAGAGGGGAGACTAAACAATTATATGGCTAAACACTGTATCTTGTGTCCGAAGTCTAATTTAGGGTTCAAACTTAAAATATCCTATTAAATGTAGAATGGAATTAATTAGGACGTGTGATACATAAGTCTTTGTCTTCCACTCATTGTTTTGTTTTAATGCATTTCTTCCTAATTTCTTCTTTCTTCCACTTTTATTTTTTGTTTTTAAGCCCAGAACTCCCAAGTACTCAGCAGCTGCCTGAGCCTCAACAGCTCAGCCAGCAATGGTGGTGACAGTGGGATCCCTACCTCTACTTCCGGGACCAGCAATGAAGGCGCACCCTCCCGGAGGCAGTCTTACATCCCGTACCGAGACTCTGTGTTGACCTGGCTGCTGAAGGACAGTCTTGGAGGCAACTCCAAAACCATCATGATTGCCAGTGAGTGGGACGCTAGAGCTGGTTCTGTGTTGAGACTGGTACTTTATCTCAGAGAAAGGGCCAAGACCACCCAAGTTTCTCATTTCATCAAGGGTCTTACACAGCATGGGTAATAGTATTAAGCTGAGTGGTTAAGGGCTGGGATGTAAGGGCTTGGCAAGTTTTTTAACTTTCTCCTTCTACTTCAGCCGTGTCTCCTGCACACACTAGCTACAACGAGACTATGAGCACGCTGAGATATGCCTCCAATGCCAAAAACATTATCAACAAGCCACGGGTAAATGAGGTGAGAGCTTCATGCCAAGTCTGGTATATTTTGCACAAAGTTCTTACTTTTCTCTAATTTCTACTCGCCACAACTTGCCTGATGTGTTCTCCAAATAATGAGGTAGTAGAAGCCTTTCTTTCAATGTTGTCTTCTCTTATATTTCTACTGCCTTCATTCACTAACCTTTTATGAGTAATTCATTTTAGATAATCTCTCTAAGGACATTTCTCTTCAAATCCCTGGTGTACTATCACCACTCTAAAAATGGTCATTTAAATTGTGTAAACTGCTTTATTTTGAATCAGTGTTGATTTATGCCTGTGCTTTTTTACTATGAAAACTGCCTGTATTTTGTTCCTATGCAAATTTTAGTTATTTCTCTGTTTAGATTAAATAGATAGGAATTCATTGGTTTTTGAAAGCTAAATAATAATGAGAATTTTCCAAATGTTCCTTATCTCCTTCACAATTTCGGTTCCGGAGCAGGGATATTAGCTGGTAGCCATATGTATGTATGTGTATGTATATATATATATATATATATATATATCCCATATATACTGTTTTACAAGACAGTAATTAGGCAGGTATTAATGTTTAGTCACATTTCTCTGGGTATAAAAAAATGTATTTACAATACAGTAAGATTAATATCTCCTACCTGTATGTGCCTTGATATTTGTTTTGGTTTTTTTTTTTTTATTTTTTAAAGATAGTTCAAACAAACAAATAAACAAAAAAGGGTGGCGCCTGTGGCTCAAAGAAGTAGGGTGCCAGCCTCGTATACTGGAGGTGGTGTGTTCAAACGCAGCCCTGGCCAAAAACTGCAAAAAACAAAGAACAGCAACAACAAAAGTCTCACTCTGTTGTCCTAGTGTTGGTCTAGCTCACAGCAACCTCAAACTCCTGGGTTCAAACAATCCTCCTCTCTAAGCCTCCCAAGTAGCTGGCTATAGGCAGCTGCCACAATGCCTGGTTAATTTTTCTATTTTTACTGAGACAGATGAGGGGGGTTGGTCTCACTCTTGCTCAGGCTGGTCTTGAACACCTGAGCTCAAGTGATCCTCCTGCCTCAGCCTACCCAGAGTGCCAGGATTACAGGTGAGCCACCGAGCCTGGCCTTGCCCTGATATTTGTATCACCTGCTTGGTCTTCTGCTCTAGGGCAACGATTCTCAAACTTTAGTGTGTATCAGAATCACCTAAAGGTTTGTTAAAACTCAGCTGGGTCATAGCCCTCAAGGGTTTCTGATTTAGTAGGTTTGGGGTGGGACTAAAATTTGCATTTCTAGCATGTTCGGAGGTGAAGTTGATGCTGTAGGTCTGGGAACCATGCTTTAGGAATGACTTACTGCTTTAGAAGTTACTGCACTTCTTCCAAGTTAATTGCATATAGTTATTTCATAGCTGGGTGACATCTGATGTGAGTTCCTGGTGACTGAGTTCTCTGTGTTTTAGGACGCTAATGTAAAGCTGATCAGAGAACTCAGAGAAGAGATCGAAAGACTGAAAGCCATGCTTCTGAGCTTCGAACTGGTATGCAGGCAATCAGAACTTTGCTGTACCTAAGTGAGTTCTCCTGAGCCCCTTCTGCTGCATTCCATGTTCTTGATTGACATTCATGAGCAGAGGCAGGGGCAGAGCCAGGAGAGGGGAGTTCTCTGATTTCCCTGCATAGCTTCAGATGGGATGGGCATTTTTTTTTTTTTTTTGAAACAGAATCTCACTATGTCACCCTCAGTAGAGTGCTCTGGCATCACAGCTCGCAGCAACCTCAAACTCTTTGGGCTTAAGTGATTCTCTTGCCTCAGCCTCCCCAGTAGCTGAGACTACAGGAGCCTGCCATTGGGATGGGCATTTTCTCACTGTGTCATCCTTTGTCAGAAAGGCATTTGCCTGAATGGCCCTTGCTATGTTTGGGCAGACATGGGGAATGGGGTCTTCCAGAAAGCATCTTTGAATTCTCCTCCTTTGTACCAATATGAGCCCAACTGCTTAGGTTCCTGATTTATTTCTGATCTTAATGATAAACTCTTCCCTTTATTTGTACCTTATTTTCCTTCACAACTGGAAGTGTGAGACGCACCTGATGTTCAGACCAGGAAAATATCAAAGCACATCTCTCTCTCTTTGTTTGTGCAGAGGAGCTTCAGTTCACTGAATGATGGAAAGGATGAAGATCTGAAGGAGCTGGTTTTCCAAAATGAACTGAAGGTGGGTATGTTGGGGGGGATTCAGCTGAGTGCTTTACATCACATCACCCTGGGAGCTCCCTCCATTATTCCTAGCCAGGGCTGGTCGGTAGGCCCGGCAGAGAGGATCCCTCTAGTTCAGGCGTCCTCAAACTATGGCCCGCTGGCCACATGCAGCCCACCTAGGACATTTATCCAGCCTGCTGGATGTTTTTCCTGCCGCTGTCTGTCCTGCAGCTGACTCATCCTGGGGCCCGCAGTCCGGCCCTCCAACAGTCTGAGGGACAGTGAACTGGCCCCCTGTTTAAAAAGTTTGAGGACACCTGCTCTAGTTTAACAACAATTTATGTCTCCTTTCAGCCTTGAAGGGGATGCGTTTGCCTTTAGGGACTTCTGGCTTTCTGATTAGGGCAGCAGTTCTCAACCTGTGGGTTGTGACCCCTTTGTAACAATGAAAATACATCCTGCATATCAGATATTTACATTACGATTCATAACAGTAGCAAAATGACAATTACGAAGTAGCAACGAAAATAATTTTATGGTTGGGGGTCACCACAACATGAAGAACTGTATTAAAGGGTCATGGCATTAGGAAGGTTGAGAACCACTGTCTTAGGGGTTCATTATAGTTCCCTTGGGTAGTGAAAGTAGCCGGGGGCCGGGGTGAGGGTGGGGAGAATCTATTTTCTAGTCAGTAAGACAATCAGCCAGTATGTATTCATTGCATATGCACCAGATAGGTGGTTAGAATGATTCCATAAGAGCAGAGAAGGCCCCGCCCTCAACTGACTTGCAGTCTTGTTGGAAGCACATTAGAAAAGGGTGTGTTTCGACTATATGATTGATATGAAAAGAGTTTAGGGAAGGGAGAAATCATTGCGGCTTGGAATTTTCTGGGAAGACTTGATGTGCTGGAACTGGAAGGCAAAGAACTGAGCTTGAAGTAGCCCTCGAAGGTTTGATAGCTTTGTTAGGGTCAAGTGGCAAGGCACTGCGGTGAGAGGAAAACATAAAGTCTAGAACTGGGAGAAGAAAGTGGCGTGACAGGCCATGTGGGAGCGCACACTGAGGAAGGCTGACCCTGGTGAGCGTGGATGTCCGTGGTAGACAGTAGAGGAGGTTTAAGGTTAGGGCCAGTTTGGAAGGTTTGACTTGATGCAAACAGGATTTGTAACTTCTTGAATCAGATTGGTGACATCATAAAGGAATGTCTTGGGGGAATGAATGTGACACTTGTATGCGGTATTAATCCAAAGGGAGGGGACACTAGAAACAAGACCAACCAGGAAAGAGACTGCTCTTGTGCTCTTGTAACCTACTGAGGGCAAGGATGGGACATTTTGGAAAAGTAGACTAATTGGTGATTCCCAGAGACATTTTAAAAAAAGACATGGTAGGCATTTTTTGCTGACAGGTTAGATTTAGATCTACAACCAAAATATCCCAATTTCTAATATTTTATTACATCACTCTTACATGTTATTTGAGTATTCTGGCAATGTCAGTGTATTGTTACCCTAATTAAACTTTAGGACTACATCATACATTCAGAAGTTTCTCAGAAAAATCTTGGTTTAGACATGTATTCTGATTTTTGGTTGAGAAAACATCATCCCTCTATATAATGAGGGGCCAAGTAGAAAAGCCAAAATCATTCCAAGCTCATCAGCATTTCACATTACTCCTTGCTGGCTGTGTGACCTTAGGCAGAGTGGGAGTAAGCAGGGAAAGCTGGTCACAGAGGCAGCTGCACCAGGTCCTAAGCCAGAATGCCCTCTGCTCACCAGTGCCTGTGGTCCCCATCCAGTCGAGCCCTTCACGTGTATCCTGTATCACTGGTTTTCAGACTTCAACTCAGTCATTGTAACTTTAAAACAGTGTTTCCAGGGTATATAAAATTCTTGTATCTAAACATGGCGTGATTTTTTTCGTAAGTATTCCCTTTATGAGAGAAGTACTTAACCTGAATCGAAGTTTTTTGACCTTCTTCACTTCTTCCATTCCCTGGATAAGCTTCCTGCTTAGGCATCAGATTCCACCAAAAAAAGACAAAGGACCCTCTTTCAACAGTTTGTTCATGTCTATAAGGCAGTCTTAGCTTAAGCCCTTCGAGCCTAGGTTGATTTACTTTTTTTTTGGAGACGGTCTCACTTTGTTGCCCTGGGTAGAGTACTGTGGTGTCATAGCTCACAGCAACCTCAAACTCTTGGGCTCAGTCTCCCTCTTGCTCAGGCTGGTCTCGAACTCATGAACTCAAGCAATCCACCCACCTCAGCCTCCCAGAGTGCTAGGATTACAGGCATGAGCCACTGCACCTGGCAGTATATTTACTTTTAAAACTGTTCCTGATACATAGTAAGCACTCGGTGTTTTTTTGTTATAATGTTTTTATTATATGGTCTCCCAGGTCAGTTCCATATAGTCTTCATTCTACCTGGCGAGATTCCCCTTAGTGCTTTGTGGGTCCTTGAGCCATGGGCAAGCTTATGCTATGATTCAAGGTATTGCACCTTGGGAAAGCAGTGTTAGTTCATAAAAGACATCTCAAATGTGGATCATATAGAAGTGGGATGGGAAAGGGGAAATTATAAACAAAGACGTCTTCCTAACATCCCAATTAATTTTTAAAAATACCATTTTTTTCTAATCATAAAAACAATACATAGTCATTGCAGAAAACTTTACAAATAACACTGAAGGCACTTCTGTTTTTGAAATTAACATTTGCTTATTGAAAAAAACTTGGAAAATACAACTCAGGGTTGGAGGAGGTGCACAAGCTTTTTTTTTGAGACAGAGTCTCACTATGTTGCCCTCAGTTGAGTGCCATAGTGTCACAGCTCACCGCAACTTCAACTCTTGGGCTTAAGTGATTCTCTTGCCTCAGCCTCCCAAGTAGCTGGGACTATAGGCACTACTTCCGTCTATATTTGTTTTTTATTGTTGCAGTTGTCATTGTTGTTTAGCAGGCCCCAGGCTGGGTTTGAACCTGCCAGCCCTGGTATATGGCCGGCACCGTAACCACTGAGCTACGGGCGCCGAGCCATCCTCTGAGCTTTTGTCGGCTCCCTGAGCTGAGTGTTTAAGATCACCTTCTGTCCCTCTGCAGGTAGACCAAATGACTAAAGACTGGACCCAGAAGTGGAACAATTGGCAGGCCCTCCTGGAGCATTACAGCGTGGATATCAACAGGAAGAAGGCTGGGGTGGTCATTGACTCCAGCCTGCCACACCTGATGGCCTTGGAGGACGATGTGCTCAGCACAGGTGTTGTGCTCTATCACCTCAAGGTGAGGAGGCTGGGGGCCTCCTTTTCTTCCTCAGCCACTGGCCCCAGAAGTCAAGAGGGAAAGGCCAGGGGCAGCAGCTGTGTTCCTGAGCACTGAGACAGGTGCCACAGAGCTGCCTTTAGGTTTGTCCTCAGGAAACTGGTCTAGCTGACAAGTTGTGACATTTTGCTTTTGCAAATACATAGAGTAGAAGACTGACAGTCTGGACAATCATTTGTTTTCCAGCTGCTGCTAGTGTTGTTCTTTATATAAATTGCTTTTGTCCTCTGTGCCTTAATTTCCTCATTTAAAGTACAAACAGTGGTTCTCACCTTCCTTTTTTGGCATCTCTGCAGCACAGTGGTGCAGTCATGGAGAGTGAAGTCCTAGCCTCAGAAAACCCTTAGTGCTCCTAAACTCTGTGAATACAGGCTGCTCAAAGGTGACTTTCAGAGACTAAAGGGAGAATTCAGAAGATTTGAAGGTTTTATTCTGAAACTTTCACTCTTTGTTAACCCCAAATCAACAAATGAAGCTTCTCTACCACTACATTTACCTGGAAAAGAAAGGAGAGAGAAAGTAGATAAAGGAAGCTTAAAGCATGAGGGAGAGTCCAGAGGCCTGGGATTTGGGGGAGACAACATGCATCTATTCAGAAAAAAATCGATTGAACTTAAGGCCTTCCAAACACGACCTGGCTCACCTGGCTCTTTGTCACCTGGAGGCTAGTCCTCATTTCTATTTTTTTTTTTAAGAGTGCTGTGGCATCATAGCTCACAGCAACCTCAAACTCCTGAGCTGTAGCAATCCTCCTTCCTCAGCCTCCCAAGTAGCTGAGACTACAAGCATGTGCCACTATGTTTGGCCAATTTTTCAGTTTTTAGTAGAGATGGGGTCTCACTCTTGCTCAGGCTCGTCTTGTACTCCTGAACGCAGGCAATCCACCCGCCTCAGCCTCCCAGAGTGCTAGGGTTATAGGTATGAGCCACTGTGCCCCGCCTAGTCCTCATTTCTCAATGAAGCAGTGTTGAGAGTTGGTGACTCTTTTTTTTTTTTGGACCTCAGGAAGAGCTGAGTCATCCCCCAGGCCTTCCTATTCATTTTTTTTTCTTTTTTATTGAATGATAACTATGTACATTAATGCACTTCTGGGGTACAGTGTGGTGTTTTCACACACAATCTGAAGAGAGTTGGTGACTTGGTAGATGATCACATCCTGCGCTCATCACACATGTCCTTCTATGGAAAGGACCATTCCTACGGATGGCAGAACAAACTGCACAAGGCCGAAATCCCTATGCTCACTGAAAATCCAACTTCAGTTCTTGTAATTGTCCCCAGCTAACACTTAAAAAGAACAAAGAGAGAGTTTATGGGGGTGGGTATGTGGTGTGCTGTTATCCCTGGAGAAATCAGCCTTCTAATGCTGCGGAGCACATGGAAGTGAGATGGTAGCGAAGCTCATTTGTGTTCTTAGGACAGGCCCTTAGGGAGGTTGTCAGGCTGAGCTGCTCAGACAGAAAGTTAAAAGTAGCTTATTTTCTGGCACAGTGGGCGTAAATTATCTTAGCGAAAATGCCTCAGGCAGAAGTGCCCATCCACTTTTACTGTAGCAACAGATCTAAATACCAAATGTCTACATAGATCCTTCCATTAGTCAGAACCACAGGGAGGGGTTGGGGGTCAGGAAAAGACCAGATCGATTAAACTGGTGACTGTTTGGGTAGAACTGATCTGAGTATGCATTGGACATGGATTGAGCAGACAAAGCTAGAAATCAAGTAGTAGAGCTCTGTGGGTAGCAGCAGAGGGTTAAAGGACATGACTGTTAGATTGACTTGTAGACACAGACTAATGATGACATTATCTGAATGTAGGATTGCTGATTTTCTTTACCTAATGCATAATAAAGATTTTGGGCTTGGCGCCTGTAGCATAGTGGTTATGGCACTAGCCACATACACCAAGGCTGGTGGGTTTGAATCCAGCCTCGGCCAGCTAAACAACGACTGCAATAAAAAATAATAATAACATCCAGGCATTGTGGTGGGCGCCAGTAGTCCTAGCTACTTGGGAGGCTGAGGCAAGAGAATTGCTTGAGCTTAAGAGTTTGAGATTGCTGTGAGCTGTGAGGTCATGGCACTCTACCAAGGTTGGCATAATCAGATTCTGTCTCAAAAAAAAAAAAAGATTTTGATCCCTTCTTGGTGCATTTCCAGTGGACTTGGCTGATAGTACTTTAGTCTATTGATAATATTGACATTTCTGCATTTTATGCACCCATTTTTTTCTTTTTTGTTTCTTTAGATATTGTTTTTGGTAATAGTATAACAGTAGTGGGCCAAGATTCTCTGTATTTTTATTTTCTTGGCTAACTTTGTTGTATACCTAGAACTAGTCTCTGGAAATACCCTGCGAGCTACGTTCCCTTGCATCACCTCGGGAAGCTCCTTAGGCAGAAAACAAGCAAAGGGGAGGGGAGATTACTGGTAGCCTGAACTTCATCCTTTAATTGCCTTTATGCCACTAATCTCCCTGCATAAAGAGGCCCAGGGGACAGTACACCCAGGTGCCAACTCAGTCCTTGTCATCTGAGGATCCATCACTTTTTGTTTGGTGGTTTTCTGCCCTAAAATCTAGGATTTATGATGTGCCGTGGCCTTTATCTTCTTGGTAGGAGTGTGCCTCATGATCAGAGCTCTCCCTGATCTTACATGAAGAGTTTTGACCTTTTACCCTTGAACTGACCTCTGATGCTGTTTGACAGTGTTTGTAGAAGCTAGCATCCATTGATTCATGTGGTCCTCAGTGGCAGAGCAGGAAAGACTGGGCTCTGGCTACTTTGTATATGCAGGGGAGAGGGGAACACAGTGAGGCTAGAACATCATTCATTACTTCCAGGATTCTTTCTTTTCACAAACTATTTTAGGGGATAAGAAGGGAGCTCCCTGCTTTGGCTGCTGACTGTGAAGCCTAATGGAGAAATCTCTGGACACTTTGAAAACATTAGTCACTGGGAAGGTAGTATAATAAGATTGGAAAAGCGTGAGTGTAGGACCTGGAGAGACCTGAATTCTAGTCATAGCTCCCCTATTTGGTATGTGAGTTTCTTGAGCAGTTTATCCTCTGTGAGCTTCAGATCGCTCTATGTAAAAAGGATATAAGCCTATAATACCAACACTTGGGGAGGCTGAAGCAGGAGCATTGCTTGAGGCCAGAAGTTTGTTTAAGACCATCCTGGACAACGTAGAGAGACCCTGGCTCTACCAAAATAAAAATCAGGCAGATGTGATGGTGTGGACATTTAGCTACTTGGGGGCCTGAGGCAGGAGGACCCCTTCAGCCCAGGAGTTTAAGGCTGCAGTGAGCTATGATTGGACCACTGCATTCCAGCCTGCGCAACAGAACAAGACCCTATCTCATGAAAAATAAACAAATAAGATAATACCTACGTTTTGCATTGCAAGGATTAAATAATGATATCTATAATCTTCAGCATAATACCTGTGCATATTGAATGGTTATTCAATAAATGATGAAGACACACCTAAAATCTAGCATCTCTGTTGCTATGTGGCGGCCTTCTCCAAACAGGGCTGTGTGATCTTAAGCACATTTGCCATAATCCAAGGGCCAACAGGCCTTGTCCTCTACTAACACAGTGTTTCATTTGTACTAACTCCAGCTTATCCCTCCTCTCTATACTTTCTTGCAGTTCTTCTTTATTCTAGAGGTGCTTTTCTCCTATTTGTGCTTTACCCTTCTTAGAATCTGGTGTCTATTGCACTTCATCTGCGGACTAAGAAGGTAACAATCCTCATTTCCAGAAATCTTCATAAAATGCTTGTCTCTTTGAGACCCAACTTAGCCCCTTGGGGGAAAGCTGTATTTGTGTGCTCCTTTCCCTGACCTGATGGTTGTGGATACTCCCTAACTTCAGGACAAAAAGGAGTTTGCCAAAACATAGTGGACTTTGCAAGTACCTCGTGCTGCCTTGTCATATATTTTTTACTTTTGCCTTCTTAGGGGCTTCCTGGGCTGCAGAGTGAGGAGAGGGGTCAGAACAGCTGGGGCCAAAGTTGGGGAGTGGCATAGAAAAGGCTGGGTTAAGAATGGGAAGACAGTGATAACACTCAACTGTGGACTTTCCTCTGGGGGCAAGGCCATGTCTTTTTCTAGTATCCCTAGAAAGGCTTTTTTTTTCCCCCTTTAGGAGGGAACAACAAAAATAGGAAGAAGTGACTCAGACCAGGAACAGGACATTGGTAAGTGGTAGAACATATGGGTTAGGTCTGACACTTTGGGGTGTTTGTGCCTAAAATGTTTCTCAAGAGAAATCTGATGCTATGAGGGAAGGGAATTTTTGAAGCATGAATGGTCTGCTTCTCTTTCTGCTGCTAGGTGTTGGGGCCGGGATGTGATAGGAAGCCTACACGGTAGGAGGATTTCAGGTTGCGGTAGTTTCAGGGGGTGGCTCTTCCTCTCTTATTATGGTGTGAGATCTTCAAGACATTGGTTTCTAATCTTAAAGATTGGAGGAGGTGTTCCCATGTGTTTCCCCCCACCCAAATGACCACTGTCTCCTCTGTAGTCCTGCAGGGTCAGTGGATTGAAAGAGACCATTGCACTATCACCAGTGCCTGTGGGGTAGTCGTCCTCCGGCCTGCGCGGGGGGCTCGCTGCACAGTCAACGGCAGGGAAGTCACAGACTCCTGCCGTCTGACCCAAGGTAGGACTGTCTACAGCCCTGTTTAAACCAGGGAGAGTGATGGACCAGTAGTAGTCTCTTGGGCCCAGAGAGTTCAGTGCAGCAGGTTTCACAGGCGGAGCACTCTGCCTCTGCACCAGAGACCTGAGTATTTTCTAATGTGATCTTGTTTTCTTAAACAAGCCCCAATTCCAGAGCAGAGTGAAGGATGACTCTGACATTTGTACCTGTGCTCGTTAACTCTATGTTGTCCTTGAGAAAGGCTCTAAGCCTCGCTTCCTTATCCCTAAAATGGAGATAATAATAGGGTTCTTGTGAAGACTGAGTGAACCTTATCCATGTGAAGTTCTGAACATGATTCTTGGCCTTCAGTAAACACTGTCATTATTTCTATCACTGTCACTACCATTATTCATCTATTCAAATCCTGTCTCCTTGGAAACTGAGCTTAGATTCCTCTGTGAAGCTTTGCCTGACCACTCCACCTGGAACTCATCATGCTTTCCTCTGTCTATTGTATTAATTCAATGTGTATGCTATGAAATATGTAATTAATACATACCAGCTAAATGATCAGTCATTGAGGGCGTGATTTTGTCTCACAGAACAGTGGTGCACAGTATGTACTCCAAACACAATCTGTTTATTGACTTCCCTCTTGTCTCTGTGCTGCAGGAGCCGTAATAACTCTGGGGAAAGCACAGAAGTTCCGATTCAGCCACCCAGCAGAGGCTGCCATCTTGCGGCGGCGAAAGCAGGTTAGCACAATTGTGTTTTCTGGGATGTTGCTGGTCTCCCTATTTCTTCTTTTAGAGGAAAAGCTTGAGCCTTATCTGGTTCTGTTGGGCTGGGGGTGATGACAACAGCCTCATTGAACTTTCTTTCTTGCTCCAGGTAGGAGAGGTTGCTGGTGGCAGTGGCTCTTTGGAATGGCTGGACTTAGATGGAGATGTCACTGCATCTCGTCTGGGTCTCTACCCTTTGCTTTGGAAGGGAAGGTGAGAAACAGCTGATCATACTGATATGGAATCCACTGGGTTTGCTTCTTAGTCCATTACAACATGGAGCAAGGAGATGCTTGGGGTAGCAAGCAAGATCTGAATGAAGTCTGATCTGAGTCAATGTGATTTGAAAATCCTGAACTAGCTCCTAAGAGTGTATTTGGCGGGAAAGTGGTCTTGGCCCTCACTCATTTCCTCTGGTATTTCAATTTTCTTCATCATGTAAAGAGGTGTATTATTTGATTTTTCTAAGGTCACTTTCCTATCACAATAAGATTTAACTGTGATATGTTTGTAGATATCTTTGATACTGATTTCTGAACTTTTCTCCCTATATCTCTTTAAAATTTCAATCTGCTCTGGTGTGAGCTCATAGTCTATGTCAGTTAGCTTCTAGAACTTATGACTTCCTTTGAGTTTTTTTTTTTTTTTTTTTTT